TGTCTTCATAATGCACATATTTTTATAGAGAAACAGAGATACTGGTTTTTTTGCATTACATGTGACTCCGCAAGTGGGTGGTGTTTCCTTGGGTTTTCTGTGGAATTAATTATTCCAGCCATTCATTTTCCAGATGTTTCTCCTCTTTCTTCGCTTCCTTCTCTTTCCTCTCCTCCCCTCCACCATCATCCCACCAGCTTCTTCTCACAGCTGATGCTTATCGACGTCTCGCTCATTTTTCTTTTGTACTTTAGAGGTTGTCCTAACTACAGACAAAAAAAAACCAAATCACTACTGAATTGTAGCCAGTGCAATAATAAGTTATTCATTCTTCTCGTGTGTCCAACTGTCCTGTTGCTTTTTTCTCCCCCTCCCTTCTTTTTTTTTTTTAACTGAAATTCAGGTTTAACGTCGCAATAATCTGAACTGACGTGCACAAACACGGTTTCTTGTGTCGCAGAGGAAAAAAACTATGAAAAAAAAAAAACCAAAAGAAGTTAAACTTACAGAGTGATTAAAAAAAAAAAACAAATAAATAGTAAATTATTTAAGAAATGTATTTTGTTTACTGCAGTTCTAAGTAAATTATTGATACAGTATGTAAAGGTGTAAAGAACTGTCTTAGGTGAGTTCTTTGTGAGCATTTAAGGTGATGATTTGTCCTTGTGGCAGAACAATTTCAATCAAAGCCTGGGGGCAGCCATGACCCCCCTGTTTGCACTCCCTGTCAGTCTTCCCTCCTCATCCCTGCACCCACACCCGGACACATCCCCTTCCCAAGGCCCTTCCAGCGCCGACTGAGAAGCCTTTAGAGGAATCCAGGTCACTGTTAACACCACTTTTGAGGGGGGTTTTTGCAGTTTTGGGGTTGATTTTTCTTTTTTAGCTTCCGGTTCCTGCCCCTTCCCCACCCCTCATCCAAGCCCTCTCCCCGTGGCACAGCTTCACCATGGGAAGCTGCTGGGAAAGAAGAGCAGGAATGAGTGAGTCTGTGGCGAGGATGTGCCAGCAGGTCAGGGCACAGACATCCGGGGGGGGAATAAATGAAACCAGTGGTTTTCGTTTGGTTCGTTCCGTGCCGCCTCATATTTATGCATTCACATATATCTTCTGTTATTTATGCATTCATTACTCAAAAGGAAATGTATCTTGTTTCACATGTATTAAACTGTATAAACTGGAAGCATGGCCTGACTTTGTGCCGCAGGGATGCCCGAGGTCTCCGTCCCGCTCCCAGAGCTCGGCATTCCCTAAAACCTCTTGCCTCAACGTGCCTGTTGGGGCTGCAGATTCCAGTCTGGACCATCCCTGCTGGTGTTTGGGGCTGCTCCCACCTCCCGCTCGGAGGATCCCTCAGCTCACACAGGAGCCTCCATATGTTAATCCAGCCTTGTGCCTCCGAGCACCTGCGCCCGCTGTAATTAGGAGTCGTTTAGGATTATTGTAAATAATGATTCTGTCTCAGTGGGATGGTGAGGAATTCCAGGAAAGAGCCATAAAAGTCATTATTAACAGCTCCTTTTGTTGCAGTTTAAGGAGCAGAGAGGAAGGAGGGAAGGTGAATCCCCCCGAATGCTGCCTGGAGGTGTGTGGGATGCCCTGGTGTGTCCCTGGGCAGAGGGGGGACACTCAGGGTGTTATTTCTTGCTGGGATTATTTAGCTTTGCTGGGAAAAGAGACGTCCCCAGTGCCTGAATTCCCTTCATGGTGCCACAGAGCTGGAGGAAAAGCCTCTCACCACGGGGCTGGAGGCTGATCTTGGTGATGGAGAGGTGGTTGTAGACCAAGTAGGAAGGGCTTGAGGCCACGGCAGCGTGTCAGGAATGAGCTGGGATATTTGCTCCTGTGGCCACCGGTCCTGGCTCTGCCCAGGCTCACACCAAATCCTGTGCCTTCTGGCAAAGTCACACATTCCCAAACCCCACAAAGCTCAGCAGGACCCAAAACTACTCCATCCATGAGCCTGCAGGAACATTCTGGCAGTGTGGGGAGAACCAAGCTCCAACTGAACGTTCTAAGAGCAGACAGTGACCGTAAAATGCTCCCTGACATCTCTTTTGGGGACACTCACCTGGACATCCAGGTGAAAAATCCCCAGACCTGTGTCCTCAGCCCCGACCTGGCCACGACCAGCACAGAGAACCCATTTAACATCACCCAGAGTTAATTTTCCTGCTGATTAAATCTCTGCAGCATTAAGCAATTTCCCCCGGGCTCTCTGCAAGCCTTGCTTAAGGTCGGAAGTGAAAAGCACCGGGCAAATGCAAGTCATGATTATTTAATTGGATCGATGCCTATTTTGCATTTTTAATGACAATTTAGTCATGTCCATTTATCAGCCAGACTCTGCCCCACCACTCTCCATTCCAGCAAACCCACAGCCCGCAGGGATGGGCGCCAAGTCCATCTGGGCTCTCTCGGAGCCGCCTCGAGGAGTGGGGATCAAACAGGGATTAAAAACCACCATGCTGAGGAAGGGACAGAGGAAACCATCACAAAGAGCCTTCAAAGGGGCTCTGCTTCAAGGGTAAATCTCGATCTGAAATTCTCTTTGTTGTGCTGGGGAGAAAAAAAAAAAAAGCCTTAAAAATCACCAACAACCAAACGTGACTCCAAATTAGCCCCAGCCCTTAATCTGTCTGTGCTGTGAGATCAGACAGGTTGCATGAATGCTAATAAGCATTTGATATTTGTACAAGCTTTCTTAGGATAAATAATTAAATTGATTTTATCCATTAAACTTCCCCCTTTTAAGCTTTCAATGCTGTGGCTGTGTTTTAACGGCTGAGGCCACTCATCTTCCAGACAGGGGCACTTAATTAGGAATTTTAGCACAGCCTGACAGAGCCACAGCGTGGGCTGAGGGGAAATCTTTGTCACTCCTTGGTTTTTAAGCAGCTCAACATGTCTCTGTGCTGGAACCCCGCCGTGCCCCTGGAATAACTCCAGGGTGGGTGCTCCGTCCTCTTCCAGCAAAATGGTGTTGCCTTGGGCAGCTCTGCCTCTCCCACGAGGGGTTTTAGCCCTTTCCATGGGGTCAGCTCCACTGGGAGGCTGGGAGGGTGCAGAGGGTTTTCTCTGCAATGAGGGATGTGCAGTGGCACTGATGCACTCCATGGGTTTTGGCACCACTTGGTGATCCCTGTAGGTCACTTCTGACTCGAGATATTCTCATTCTATTCGATGATGCTCTGGTTTGACACTGATGCACACAGAGATGTCACCAGGAGGGTTTCATCCCCACCTTAGGCTGTCCCTCATGCCAGGAGTTGTGTCACTCACTTGTATATCAGGGTTGGGTTGTTTTTTCCGGCTGTGGCCACTGGACTATCCAGTGAGAAATAAATCTGTTAATGATGAAAGGGAGAAAATGCTAACAACTCTCATTTTGTCACACCACAGGGAAGAAACCAGATTAATTATTTGAATATTTGATTGAAATCCCCTGGAGCAGCTTATTGTTGATTCCACTTTTCCCCATGCAGAGGCACAAGCTGCCCGTGGAGACATCCCCAAGGTTTGTCAGATGCACAGAGAACAGCTCTCCCACCTGAGTTATCCCCAAAAAATGCAGTCACCACCAGAGTGGGCAGGTGATAAGCAGAATGACTTCGTGCCCTTTCCCCTCTTTTCCCCAGAGCTTGGTTATTCCTCATGCCCTTATCAAATCCAATGACCCTACTGGGAACCAGCTCCTCGGGTCCTCCTCATCCTCTTCCCCTTTCCTGCCTACTTGTCAATTTATTCTGACTGGCTCAGACCAAGCTACTAATTAATTTTGCTCATTAACCAAAATAAAAATCTCACCAATGATAACAAGTTCCAGTCAAATTAATTCTTCGTGGAAGACCAGGCACTTTGCAGCTCCTTGGCAGCGACATCTCCCGTACCCAGCAGGGCCTGGCACAGGGCTGGACATGGGGGCAGAGCTGGACCATCCCTGGAAGTGCTCAAGGCCAAGTTGGATGGGGCTTGGAGCAACCTGGTCTGGTGGAAGGTGTCCCTGCCCATGGCAGGGGATGAAATGAGAGGCACTTTAAGTCCCTTCCGACCCAAACCACTCCATGATTTAGACATGTAACACACCTGTCTTCACCCAGGTACCTTCCCACCAAACTAAACCTCCAGGTGAATGTATTCAGCAAGAATTAGAGCAGGAATATCCCCTTCCTTCCACACCATTTGATCTGAGCAGCAAGAGGGAAAAGCTCCGAGTGCAGGAGCAAAAGGCAGGGAAGACAAAAGGCAGGGAAGCTCCCTGCAGCCTCCTCACAGGGAGAAGGCACAGGCAGAGATGAGTCAACGTTGTGCAAACAGTCTAAAAATAAAACCGGTTTATTGCAGATAAATGATGCCATAAAATGTATTTCACTGGCCATTTAGCAGGTGTTGATCATAAATATTTGGGATTAAAAATAAACTTCTGTTTGCCTTGCCACTGTGTTTTTGTTTGTGTCTCTCCCACCTTCCCCGAGCTCCTGTTGGCAGCGATGGATCAGCCCCGAGGCTGCTGTAATCAGAGTTGAACAGGTAAGGGAGACAAAATACCTGCTTCCTGCTACCTCCCAGCAGCACTGGATGTCCATCCACTCCCTTTCCCAGGCAGCAGCACAGGGATCTGCTGCAGGAGCCCAGAGCCAGGGTGATGGGCAATGGGCATGGCAGGAGATCCAGCCCGAGGTATCCCTGTCACAGCTGCCTGGCAGCTTTTCCCAGGAGAAGGGGAGCCCCCCGTTGCTCTCTCATTCCACAGGGCTCAATTCCCACTCACACAAGTGTGGAGGCAATCCCTAGGGAATCGAGGGCACGCAGACACTCCAAGAGTTCTCTGGGAGCCAATGGACCAGGAGCCAGGCAGCCTGTTCAGCTCATGGTACAGAGCTTGATTCAGAAGCTCTCAGTGACAGAGCTCCAAGTAGTTTGGATTTTTCCAACCCCTGGCTCTTTCTGGGAATGAAGAAAACATAAATCCCTCAGCTTCCTGACGTGCCTTCAGCACAGGGGTCAGTGCTAAAGGGACACCAGGAATGGTTCTTCTGGAGCTGGGATCCAACCTGGGCACAGCACCTGCGAGAGATGACGTCAGTGATCATCAGGCACATGTCCTTCCTCCCTGTGAGGCTTCCCATTAGTCTCATCACAAATCACAGGATCAGGACAAGTCCAGGAGAGGAGGTGAATGTTTTAGGTGGCCAAGAGAAGCAGCAGCCTCGTTAAATAACACCCGTGGACTCGCCGTGATCCACAGGCTTTCATTATGCTTGGAAACCAAACTCTCTGATGGATCGTTAATTAAGTTTTCCAGCAGGATAAAAACACTTCCTTGCTTGGGATTTCGTTCTGCTCACGAAGATTAAAAGTGCAGCCAATTAGAACAAGGCTGGCGTGCAAGGGAGGAAAGACTAAAAGGTCTTGTCATGGCTGGGAGGGGACAGAGCCCTTCCAGAGGCAGGTACAGATGACTCACGGCTGCTGAAAAAGCCTCCTGCTGTCTCTCTGTCATGGGGAAGGTCTCCCAGTGCTGATAGAATTCCTTCAGCACCTGTTTATCACTTGCCAGGCAACAAAAAAATTCCTTAAATTGGCTCTTAGCAAGCTCCAAGGTAGCTGGTAGCCAAATGCAGTGTTAATTAAACAGCCTCACTAACTGCTCCAGACAGCTGCTCCAAAACTGCTTTATTTCCCCCCATATAATTTTCAGTTCAAATGAATTATTTTCTCTGAAGCATTTCTGAAGGGCAGGGGGGAAAGGATAAAATTTCAGGCGTTCCCTCCCATCCCTCCTGCTTTTCTCTCCCATTCTTCTCTTGGCCAAATTTGTTTGGCCTGAAAAATCGAGTTGAGATAGATACTGACAGAGAATACATTTATTGGAACATGGAAGGCATTTTTCAGCATGAAATGTAATGGTAGTTTACTTTCAGTCCAATATAGAATCCCAGAGTGGTTTGGATTGGAAAGGACCTTAAAAACCACCTCGTTCACCCACTGCCATGGGCAGGGCCATCAGTATTTATCCACACCAGCCCTTTCAGCAGAAAAGGGTGTCTTGGTGCTGCAATGAATAGCCCATGGTGTGGCACTGCAGGGAGCCAAAGCAGCACAGCCACCTCCACCAGTATGCCAAAGGGAGGGAAAAAGGAGACAGTGGACAAGGACAAGGACTGAGGCCATAAATCTCTGCTCAGCCCATCCAGGAAAGGGCTCCAACTGGCTACAGCGGGAAACCCAAACAGGTGCCGAGCCAGGGCTTCCTTCTTTCCTCCCGTCCTTCCCCAGAGGGTCTGGCAGCAACCAGATGCCCCACAAATTCCTCACAGCGAGGGGAACGTGGTGTGGGATGGAGAAAGGAGGCGAAGGGATGAACCGTGGCAGATGGTGGCCGGGCTGGTGAGTCTCCGTGGCGCTGACGTGCGCGTGGGCAGCAAAGATTCCTGGCAGGAGCAGTGGCACGACCACGGTCCCAAAGGGCCAGCACTGTCACATCACCAGGCCAACACCGTCGTGTCACCAGCCCAGCCCCATCACGTTGTGGTCCCTGCAGGGAAACAAGAAGTCCCGGGCAGCAGATTTCGGCAGTTCCAGCTCTGCAAAGTCTCGGCGCATTCGTCCACCTTGTTTACACACTAAACTCACCTCCTTCCTTTTAATTAGCGCGTTCTCATTAAACCAACCCCATCCCGTTTCCTCCCCTTCCCTCCCACAGCGTGGCAGCCGCATTCAGACTCCAGAATTAGGGAGGCGTTTATCCTTACATCCATAAGGAATAATCACCGTGCTGTGGACACTAACAGCCCCACTGGCCTCCCCCTCTCCTCATCAGCTTGGCTCATTGGGTGACCCTCCGGAGACCACAAAATTCATCACTATTCCCACTTTTCCTCCCTGGAAACACCTCGTGGCTCTGGCCCTCGCCCAGGAGCCGGAGCTGCTTCGGCTCGGCCAGCAGCATCATCTAGTGGCCGTGGCCTCGACACCACGGAATCATGGAATACCCTGAGCTGGGAGGGACCCACAAGGATCATCGAGTCCAACTCCTGGCCCTGCACAGGACACCCCAAAATCCCACCATGAGCCTGAGAGCGTTGTCCAAGCACTCCTTGGACTGACAGGCTTGGGACCAGCTGCTGGGAAGGCTGGCGCTGATATTGATATTAAATAAAAAAATATCAACAGACGTTGATATTAAATAAAAAATAACGCCAGGAATTCTAAATGTGGGGCAGTGCGAGGATAAAGGGGAAGCGGGCGGCGGGGCTGCCAAGGGGTGAGGGGCTGCGGACCGGCCGTGCTGAGGGCAGCGAGGCTGTCCCGAGTGACACAGGGCTGTCTCGGGGGTGACGGGGGTGGTCGGGCCGAGTTTTGGGGCGGTTTTGGAGGCGGTTTTGGGGCGCGGCAGCCCCGCGAAGCGAGGGGGTGGGGAGCGGGGCGCGGGGGAAGCGGTCCGCCGCGCGCCCCGTCCGTCCCCATGGCAACGGGCGCGGCCGCCATGGCGCGCCGCCCAGCGTGTGTTCCTGCTGGCCGTGAGCGGGGAGATCGAGAGCGGGCAGGTGGGTGAGACCGCGGGAGACCGAGTGCGGGCAGGTGGGTGACACACCGGGGACACCCCCGGGACGCCCTCGGGATGCAGGACAGGCCCCCGGCACCGACAGCGCGGAGCCAGGTCCTCGGTCCCGTGTCCGCCCGGCGGGATGAGACTCTGCCTCCGGACCCTGCCCGGCTTCAGCCACCTCCCCAACCCAGCCGAACCCACTCTGGCTGCAACACCCCCTAACTCAGCTCGACCTCAGCCCGTCTAAGCCTGCCCGGCCTCAGCCGCCCCAAACCCAGCCAGTCCTAAGTCCCCCTGACCAGCCCGGCCTCGGCCCCTGGACCCCTCCCAGTCTCAGCCCCCTGAACCCAGCCCAGCCTCAGCACCCCTTAAACCATCCCAATCTCAGCCCCCCTGAGCCTGCCTGGCCTCAGCCCCTTGACCCATCCCAGTCTCAGCCTCCCCAAACCCAGTCTGTCCTCAGCCCCTCCAAATCCTGGCTGCCCTCAGCTCTGCCCTCAGCACTGTTCCTTGGGCAGACCCTCACCCCCGAAATCCCCACTGACACCCCCCCTCTCTCCCACAGTTCCCTGGATTCGATGACCTCTACTGCAAGTTCTGCTTCGTCTACGGCCAGGACTGGGTTCCCACCGCGGTACAGCCCCACTGTGCCCCCCACACCCCCATCCTGGGGGCTGCCAGGCCCCCCTCAGCCCCCAGCTGACTCCACCTTCCCCCCACAGGGTCTGGAGGAGGGAATCTCCCAGATCACCTCCAAGAGCGACGTCTCGCCCACCACGCTCGTGTGGAACTTCCCCATCGACATCACCTTCAAGAGCACCAACCCTTTTGGCTGTGAGTGCTGGGGGGGGATTTCCAGCCCCCAGACCAGCCCCTCCTCTCACACCTCCTTCCTTGCAGGGCCACAGATTGTGCTGAGTGTTTACGGGCCTGACTTCTTCGGACACGACGTGGTCAGAGGTTATGGAGCTGTTCACGTGCCCTTCACACCTGGAAGGTGAGTGACAACCTGTCTTTCAGGACTGAAACAGATTTTTGTCCCAGTTACTCTGTTGTTTCAGAAACAAAAATGCTCCCGTGTCTCCTCATCACACCTTGTCTGTATGGTATAAAGGGCTCGGATTTTCTAGAAGCCCCTGACCATCAAAATAATTTTTGTTAGTCCTGTGAACACCTGTAAAGCCAAAACTGGCCTGTAAAAAGCCCAGATATGAAGCACAGTAAATTGCCTCTCCCCCATCATTCTCAGCACTCAATAAGCTTTCATTCCCACCTCTGGAAATGGAGGAATGTACACTGTTCCTATGCAAACAAACCCTTCCTTCTTGGAAGGAAAAGTATCCCACCTCGAGATGTTCAGTGTTCTGACGTGTCTGAAATTCTGGTGCCTTTATAAATATAAAACCCCTTGCTCTTTGCTCCATTTCTGAAGTTCTCTGGGTCTCTTTTTGCTTCAGGCACAGAAGAACCATTGCTATGTTTGTTCCAGAGTCCACATCGAGGCTGCAGCAGTTTACAAGGTAATAATTAATGACTTTATGTTTTTAAAGTCCCTCTTGCCCTTAGTCACAAAGGCATGTCCAGCAAATCACTGGTGCAGATGTGAATATTCTGTACCATAACCGGGTAGTTTTGTGGTTTGTAGGTAAAATCACATTTTTAGCTGTCTAGGTATTTTGAAAAGCTTTCTGAAGACATGTTAACTACCTATTGACTGTACTGAACTTACTACCTAAATCTTTTTAGGGTGTTTTTTTGAAGCACAGCCCCATTAAGAGCAACCTGGAAAGCAAAGAACATGGAAAAACAATTCCCATTCTACCTTTTCTCCCATCTGGAACGCATCTGCTGTAACCTTTATCTTGTTCACACACACACACACATCCTTCCAAGAGCAGTCTGTCCACAGCAACTGAGGGTATTGAGGTTTTTCCCTTGCACAATATTGTCAGGATTCAGCTGATTTCTTCTCTTTCTGATTCCCTTTTTGTAGGCCCTACACTAATTTGTCTATTTTTCTGTGTATTCAAAGTGTCCAAGCCTCTCTGGTTCTCTGGGTGATCAAGAGTGAATCAGTTCCAACAATTCCTTTGCCACAGGAGGATTCTGTCTAGCCCAGAAATAACCTGGATTCACCATCATGTGCATTAAATTAGTTTTGGGTTTATTTTTTTTTTCCTTAGAGAGACAAAATTGAGCTTTGATCGAAGTAGATAATAAAGTGAATCAAGCTTCCAAACTCTGCTGCAAGCCAAAGCTGGGAGTCTGATCAACCCCTCTGTGTGTTTTTGGCATGCATGTAATGAACTGGATCAATGTCAACAATCCAGTTGGTTATTTTCTGTGTTCTTCTCCAAGCTGGCTCACAGGGAGACGCCCGGAATTTACTGACCCCAAAGTTGTGGCACAGGGAGAGGGACGAGAAGGTGAGTCCTGGCTTAAGCTTGGCCGTCCACCTTCGGGTGGGAAAAGCAGCTGAGAACGATCCTCCTTGGATATCTGAGCCCAACAGCCACTGAAAAACCTCCTCTGATTGGATTTATTCCCATCATCTCTCTTGCAGTGACGAGGGTGAGATCCCAGGGCTTTGTGACCATTTCCTTCAACATCATGACCAAGGACCTGAAGAAGTTGGGCTACGACGTGACCCCCAGTGACCTGCAGAGCCCCTCCCTGGGGCCTGGGGCCCAAGGGCTCCCCAAGTACTGAACTGTGCCAGGAGGTGCTCAAAAGGCTCACAGAGAAGTTGAGCACTTTGTGGCTTTTTAGGGAAAGGTGGAGCTGGTTAAACTGAGAGAATTATTCCTAAAGAAGCACAAGCCCATGAGGCTTTGGAATAACTACCAAGTACAGTCCTCTCAGTAAGTTACAGGTTGAAGTATTATGTAAATTAATGCCATCAGATAATATTCAGCATTTTTATGAGCAGTATCAGACTGTCTCACAGTCTGGGACAAAATGTTTTTATAACAGCCTTTTGTACACTTTTTATATCAATAATGAAATGGAAAGTTCACGGTTGCAGCAGTTTCCCTGTGGTTAAAAAATCAAGATGCAATCAACAGCAAACCCTGTTCTTTTGAGTAATTTGGGGGTTTTTTTGTGGTACAAATGGGGAACTGAAATTATTGCACCTTCCAAAAACAGACCAGTGAAATGCATCCCCCTCTGAGCATTTCTTTTAGGCTGAATAAACCCAATTGTCTAAATATATTTATTTGTCTTTCTGCTGCTCGGGGCTTTTGTTTGTCCTCTAAATCATCCAGGCTCTGCTCTTACAGGCACAGGAGAGAAAGAAGTGCATGTAACAATGGAATGACTAATTGCTTAGTCATCTTCAGATTGAATTTTGGGCATGTAACCTCTTGTGTTTGACTGCAAATCCCAGGAGGTGCCTGGGAGAGTGAGGATACCACCCTAGAAGTGAACTACCAAGACCTCAAACTGTAGAAACACAAGTAATAAAACACAGTGAGGAACCACAAAGCCTCCAGGACAAAGACTCCAGGCAGAGATTGTTCTTATTTCGTGCTGAGCAGCGAGATTGAATAAATAGCATTTCTGAAAACATCATGTGATCACTGTGGGAGCATTAGCACCTTTGATACGATGTATAAATGCTTTTCCAAATGTGGTTAAGGATGATTTTTCATCTCTTACATTTTTCCTGTCTTGCTTTTGTTGACTCCACGCTTCCAGTAAAGCTCCTCCACCAGTTGTTTTGACAGATCATGTAATCTCTGAACTGAGTCATGTTGGAATCCAAATTAATAAATATTTCCTCTTGGCTCAGAGGAGGCAAAAGGAATTTTGTTTCCTTTTCAGAAGTATTTGGGAAGCAGTTCTCTACAGTAGCAGGATAAATATCTGTGTTTGGAACACTCCAGAGGCAAACACTGAACCTACTACTGCTGAAACATCCATTTTCCCTTGAGCACAGTTACCTGCCCCCATTCCAGCTGGAGCAAAACTGCCCCACAGAGTTCCCAGGCACAAGGAACCTGTTAAACCCCAGTGCCCACAAGGACACACCGAATTTATTCACACACAGCTCTGCATCCTGGTGCTACAACACCCTGAACTCCTCCTGTTGGATGTTTAACCCCACTGAGACCAACCAGACCCACCCCAGCTTCCCCCTTCCCAGCCAAGCTGCCAGGACCCTTGGAAAAGTTAAAGCAGTGAAAAGCAAAGATCTAAAAAAGCAAAAATCCTAAACTCCAGAAGCCAGGATTTGAGGCACTGTAAGATATTTAGGATGCTCTACAAGCAGATCCCACACTGCCACCTGCATTATTAGGGGGGTTTTTTGCTTATTTTCTCTGGGTTTAGTTGGATTTGGGGTTTTTTTCAACACATCCTGAGCACATCTAAGACCCTCACCCACCTTTCCCGAGGTTTGTGTTCAGCCTGTGAGTGCTCAGCTCCGACACAGCTCAGCCCTCACCCCCGGGCACGCTGGGGGGATGTTTTCAGCCAGCCCTTCCCGAGTCCAGCACCATTCCTTTGTTCCCAGAGGCTGCCGTTGATATTCCCTGTCTGGGAAGCTGTCCCTGCTGGAAGCCTTTGGTCCTCAGGTGTGGCAGAGCATTTTACCCTGGGGAGAATCTCTGCTGCTTCCTGTAGCAAGGAAGGGGTTAATGACTCTTAAATGGTCCTTGCAGTTAAAGGTTGGAAGGACCCAGTAAACCCCAGTAAAACCCAGCCTTGCTGCAGCAGAGGCTTGCAGTGATTTCCTCTCACCCATCTCCAGGCAGCTGTAGCACCCTGCTCGTTTCCTGGTTAATCATTCTCCCTTCTATTCAAACCTGGACTGGAATTCCCAGCCCCGGGTGGCACAGAGGGTGGCACGAGGCTCTCAGCTGCTGCTGGAGCTCCTGTTTTGTTACTCTGAAATCTCTCCCAGGCACTGAAATTGGACATTATCCTCCTAATTCCAGATGGGCAGGAAAAAAACCTTCATTGAGAACGTGTGTCCTGACACAGGAGGGGCTTCAGCTATCCCAAAGTGGAGAGGGACCCTCTGGAAGCAAAGGAAGGCTGGGAGATATTTGGGGACTGTGCAGCAGCTCCCTTTGCTCTCCTGGCCTGGAGAAGCTCTGGACCGTCCTCACTCCATGGGGGTTTTCCTGCTCTCACCCTGGGAAGGAAACAGCCAAGGACACGGATCAAACAGCAGCTCGGGGACCAAACCTTCCAGAAAAAGGAAAATCATTGGGATAGTCCTTAGGAACTGTTATTTACAGCCTCTTCTACCAAAACTAGGAATAGCAGCATCAGCTCCTGCCCTCTCGTGGCAGTTCCCAACCTTTAGGAAGGTGTTGGAGGAGAGGCTGAATGAAGGACGGCCACGTTTTTCCTGTTCTCCATGGAAATTAGTGCAGCGGTGCCTGCTGCCCTGGCACTGCCCCTTGTCCCGAGAGCACGGGGCAAACACCTCCCGGCGCCGCAGGGAACGGGACTGAGCCAGGAACGCGAGCATCCCTGAGCGCTGGAGAGCCCGGCTCTGCCCCCGGGGCAGCCAGGCTGCTTTACACCAGCAGCACTGCTGGGAATTATCTCCATCTGAAAATGAGCTGGATTAGAGCTGACAGCGACTGCCCCCCAGCAGCAGTGCCGGGTCAGGAGCAGGAGCCTCCTGTGAAACGCTCAAAAAAAAAAAAAAAATAAAAAAAAAAAAGAGTCAGAAAAATAAAACAGAGAAGCACAGAGCAGCCAGATTTGAAGAAAATTGGAGCTGCAGCTTCAACTCTACCCAGGGTTGTGCCATTTCAGCCCCAGGATGAGCTGTTCATGGCAAGGTCACTGTAGCATTGTGCCAGGACCTGATGCTGGAGATAAAGGAGGATAAATCCAGGTCTGTGGGGTCCCAGGAGGACAGAACAG